GTTCAAAGAAGACAGGGTGGCAGGGGGGCAGGCTGTAGAGAAGGGAGGTGAGTGAGAGGAGGCAGAGGGCAGGCAGCCATGGGGGGACAAGGAGCTGGAAGACCTGCCCTTAGGCCTGTCTCTGACTTGCCTTGTGATCTTGGGCAACTTGCTCAAGCTCTCTGAGGTGCCATTTCCACATCTGTAACAAGGGAAAGTGTGTTTAAGCTCACCATGAGGCTAGCTCTTTGGCTCTTGGGAGCAGCTGAGCATCCCTACCAGAGAGTGATAAGATGCCCCCAGAAGGAGGAGAATGCTGGGGAGGGGTCTAGATCTTTCCTCCCCCCCACCCTTAGGGTGGACTCAAAATTTAAATTCAAGACCAGGTTTTTGGGCCCCAGAATTGGTCAATTCCCCCACTTCCACCACCCCATGTCAGTAGATAAGCTGAGGATCTGGTCCGTTGGGTCAGAGCTGAGGATCTGGTCTGTTGGGCCAGAGATAACAGCCAAGATTATTACCCTGCAATCAGGCCCAGAAGTGACCTCTCAGATACTTCTCCATTTGTAGGTTCCCTGGGACAGCAGAGGCAGGGAAGGCTTTTTCACCCTCTGGGTTATGTGTGTCTGGTGCCCTGAGCCTGGGAAGGCTGAGCAGGGGTATGAGAAGAAATATGACTGCCCAGAGGGAATGTCACCCACTCTGCCAAGGCCACTAGCTCCCGGCAGGGATTTCCAGCAGCACCAGGGCCCGGCACTTGTTGGCCTCTCTTTGGCCTGCAGTGAATGTGGCTGGAGCTGGGTTGATTCAAGTTTTCATATTTTATTCTTCAGAGATGTTTTTGCATTTATTTTTTTTTCCAAGAAAGATTGCATGAAAGCATTTCATTTATCTTGACTACTGAATTCTTTAGTGCCCCCTTAAATTATGCACCTGAGATGAGTGCCTCACTCACTGCCCCCTAGTCCTGACCCTGGTGGTGACAGAGGGCTGGTGGGAGATGAGGATGGTGGTGGGGAGGGTGGCCCCCATGGTGTCAGAAAGATTCTGCATGAAACTTTCCATTGCAGCTGTCTCCTCTTTGTCTGAAGATATGCCTTGAGGTTGGATTAAATTTTATAGATCAGTGATTCTCAATGGAGGCAACTTTGCTCCCCAGAGGAGCTTTGTAAATATGTGGAGATGTTTTTGATAGTCTTTGGGGGACAATCAGATGATGGGGGAGGTACTCCTGACAGTTAGTGAGTAGAGACCAGGGATGCTGCTAAACTTCTACAGTCCCCTCTTCCCCCACCAACACACAACAAAGAATTACTTTACTCCAAATAGTAAGAATGAAAAGGTTGAGAACCTTGATACAGACCTATAGCATAGAAGAAAGAGCATAAGTTTTTCACACATTAAAGATGAAAAAATAGAGAAACCAAGATGGCGGCATAGGTAAACACGGGAAATTGCTGCCTTGCACAACCACTTCAAAAATACAACTAAAAGACAAAACGGACATCATCCAGAACCACAGGAGGGCTGGCTGAGTGGAAATTCTACAACTAGAAGAAAGAGAAAAGCACACGGAGAATCAGAGGAGGTGCAGAAGTAAAGTGCAGAGATATGGAGGCGCACACGGAAAGGGCTGGCAACTGAGGACGCGATTGTCTTTTTCAATCGGGAGGGACTCTAAGCTCCCGACTGCTCTGAACTCCACATCTATTAACAAGTGAATCTAAAAGTCATGTGAACAAATAATCGATGAACAGAATCAACTGGTGAATATAATAAAATCAGGGGCATAGAAAGGGAGTGGACTGGCTATTCTTGGGGTGGAGGGGAAAGGGATGTGGGGGGTGCGGGAAGAGACTGGACAAAAAATCGATGGATGAGGACAGTCGGGGGTGGTGCGGTAAGGGCAGAGGGGAGTTATGGGGGGAAAAAGAGGAACAACTGTAATAATCTGAACAATAAAGATTTAATTTTTAAAAAAGATGAAAAAATAGAAAGAGGGAGAACTAGAGTGAGAACAAGAAAAAGAGGAAGGAGGGAGAGAG